TTATGGTTAGAAACAGTTGTAGGGGAAAGGCAGTTCATTAAGCCTTGCAAATTGGCTTATATCCTGAAGAAAATCTGGAAAGTTAGGTAAAATAAAACATTTGAACAACACTAAATTTATAAAAAAAAGGAAATTTGACACTAAAATGGTATGAAAGAGGAAGGATTTTACTGTGTTCAAGGCAGAGGAAGAGGCCTTGAAAGACATGGTTCTATTCCTGACTCTGCCTATGATTCATTTTGCCAAATTACTTGTCACATGTGCTTCTGTTTTCCTGTTTGTAAAATGGAGAGAGTAAAACTTTCTCCAAAGGGGCATCATCTTTGTAAAATGCTTTGAGATCCTTGGAGGGAAGTGCTCAAAAAGTGCAAAGTTTGGCCTCTTTTTGTAGCTTGAGATGGTGCTCTTGTTACGTTTTGAGGTACAACTAAAGCTAAAATCATCACTGTCTCAGGAACTAAAAGCCAGCAAATCTAACAAGGCTACCATTCATTTACTGTTGCTTTTAGAGGGGTATTTCTCTTTGGAGCTCTTGTAAGTCTCATAGATTTTTCCTCATCTTGGAATGACTACTTTGCTATCTTAATTGCTATTTTTATATGCAATGGAAAGGAGGATTTCTTCAAAAGCTAACACAGAAGTTCTTTCCCAATCCTTCTCTTAATGTCTGGCTTATGCTTATGTAAAAACCTCAGGTTTACCATATTTTCTCATATATAGTATGCACCTTGATTTTGAAGAGTGAGTAGCAATGATTAGGGAGCCAAGGCTGCTCACAGGCCAGCTGCCAGCCCCCCATATTGGATGGGATCTGCAGACCTACTTAGTGTACTAGGTCCAGAGCCACATGCCAGATCAGACCTGAATCAGAGTCAGGGCCCAGGTCCAACCCAGCATGCTGGTTCCCAGGCCTTGCTTAGTCTGGGACCATGCACTGGCTCTGAAGCTATGGTGCCAGGTCCAATCCAGTATGCAGCTCAAAGCTAGCACATGGTCCTGGACCTGGTCTGATCATACAGTCCCAGAGCCAGCACACAACTGGGGGGGGGGGGGCTCTTGACAGGTCCAGAAATTTGGCAGCAGTGCAGGGAGCCATGGCAGCATTAATTGTCATAGCAACCAAAGCCACTCCCCCTGCCAAATTTACAGAACAGTGAGGACATCCTTTCCTCACACGTGAATACCCCAATTTTCCCCAGCTGGTTTTGGGGGAAAAGCTTTGGGTTATATGTGAAAAAATATGATATATGTTTCATCTATCTTTAGAAAAGATAGATAATTATGACTGTTCTCTGTAATCATGTAAATGTCCAATTCATTCTTGAATCCAGTCTTGGTTTTAGTCCCTGTAACCAAATTCATAGTTCTGTAAACCTGGAATAATTGTATTGTTGGCAGTGAGGTTACTGTAGTTTGGTATCAACATAACTGAGAGAAGGATTTGGCCAAAGAGATCTTGTCTTATAATTCCTACCTGATATGATCAAGGAGTTGTTTAGATCTGTAGCCAGAAAACTTCCTGCAAAATTTTAACCACGCGCTTTTTAGACGAATGTTAAGTTCAAGCAGAAGCAACAGTTGCTGGCCAGAGAGAGGGTCAGAGTAAACCTCAAACCTGTATGAGAATACATATTACATATGAATGAAAATTTTTGTTTGCTCTGATTCTTGGGTTTTTCCCCTTTTTTATCTGCATCAGAGTAGCTGGCCACAGAATTGGCTTTAAGGGGTTTTGGAGATAGTTGGTAATCCTTCCTTCCCATGTCCTTGTGACAAGGTATTTAGCAGAATTCACAGCATGATCGCATTGTGAGTGCTTCTTCTGTGACCTCAAACTTGCGGTGGCTGGGTTGTCAACTGTGCACCTTAGTGCCTCCACCCCCACCACCCCAGTCTCCATAGTTGGTAATAAAAAAAAGAAAAGGTATAAAAACCAACTAAGTGTTAAAATGTGAATCCAGCCAGAATAGAGGAAGATTGGGTCTGTTTTCTTTTTTTATGTTTAGTGTCAGGTTTTGCGTAAGGCTAAGAATTATATCCAGGAGCTGGAGCAAACCTTGGGTACTTTGCTGAAGATGAAAGGTACTGTATGCCAATATTTGCCTGAAACAGCTTCTGTAAACCTGCTTGTCATTTATTTGTTAAATAGGGACAGATAGCAAGATGCAGCAAAGTGCCTGAGCTAGTATTAATAACTGGGCCTAGATTTTGCCTTTTCCACCCTCAGAAATCTGCCTGTCATTCCTTCCCGACTCGATTCCTACCTGGGTTCTCCCTTGACTGAGGCTGTGCGAGAGGCCCGTATCAACAACAAAAATATCTCCCCTCCCACCCCAGGCCCCGTTCTCATTCATCTGACCAATGTATTGGCAGGGCTAGTCCTAGTCTTCACCCATGTATTCCAAGGGCCAGTAGAGGTGCATGGCACGATTCAGAAATAAAGTTGGGTTCCAGGTTGGAATGAAGGACTGAAAATAGAGCAAAAAGATTTCCTCACAGAAATGTAGGGCATGAAAACTTCACCTAAAAATTTTCTCCAAGGGAGACAATAAGACATACTGTACTTTTTTTCTTTTGACCTGGTATGTCTTCCCAGACATTTATCCATTAGGCAGTCCCAACACTCTGAGACATAACTGCTTTTTTCAGGATGAGGATGGCAGGGTGACATTCTTTGAGTACCTGTTACAATCTTCAATCAACTGGCTCAATTGCTGTTGAGTTATGTGAAGTGTCTGGGCATACAGAGCTGCCCCTGCAGTGTTATCAGCCATCTGTCCTCACCTCTCTGAGGATCTAGAGACCAGAATTAGACATTAAATTGTCATTCCTTTGAGTGGCAGTGACTTGACTTGCATGCTGATGATTTAAAGCCATTCCATCCATTTTCATTAAGTTAAACAGGGTCAAAACTCCCTTTAGTTGTCCAACTATTACTACTTAAAAGAAAGAAAAATCACAGAACATTGCATTAACTAGTAGTTGAATGGACTTGAGTTCACTGGTTCTTACCACTGATTAGCAATGTTATCAGTTCACGCACCAGATCAGCATTATAAGACACCAGTAATTCTAAATTAGCCACATTATCTTGGCTAGGGATCATAAACTCTGCACACAGCAGATGTTTCTCCCAGTATTATTTTTATAGTATCGAGAACTCCCTGACATTCAGGTCAAATTGCCATCATTACCCTGTTTGAGTGGAACCAAGAGTGAGAGAGCTGCTGAACACTCCACTCTGTGACAGTTATCTTTCTGCTGACAACAGAGTCCTTCAGTGTGGAGGATGGGAACCCATCCAGCTTGGAGGAAGTCAAGGAGGAATATATCAAGATGTACTTCAACCATCACAGGTAAGGACTTGCACAAATCAAGAAATGATGTTGATATTTTGTACTTGCTTCCATCCATGTATCTCAAAGCACACTGCAAACATAACCAAGTACAGCATCTCTGTCCCTGTGAGGAATACCAAAAATATACAGACATGAAGAGGTTTCAGCTGCCAAAAAAAGCTACAGATTGGACCCTTATACTCCAGTACATGAAAATTCCATGCACATTTTTGGTTTTATTCCCAGTTAGTGCTTATGGTTGCCTTTCTTCTTCTTCTTCATAGTGCTTCTTTGCAAGGGGTTTCAATTCACTCTGCAAAGGAAAACGTACCTACTCAGAAAGAAAGAGTGACCACAGTAAGGACCATTTTAACCTGGTTGAGGAAGCTATTCATTTGGCTTCTCCCTATCTTTTCTTTCCAGCTCAGCATCATCCTCTGACACTACAGGTGAAAGTGTTTCCACCATGTGGTATTTGATTCAAGAATATGAAAAAAAGGATGTGGAAGGGGATGGGAAATCCGGACTTACGCAGTCCCCAACCACTTCATCTCCTGACCTGATTGAATTTGAACGGTATGTGCGTCTTTATTTGAGACAACATGCAATTCCTTACTAGCACTGTGACTCTGAATCCCAGTAGGCCCTGCACAAGTTATGGTTAGTCCTCAGCCATATGGCAGCTCCATAGGCACTGACAGAAATGATGTTTTGTTGTACAACTAGCCATCTAAAAGTGCTTTACAGCTGTGCCCTGAGAGAAGTGCATGGCTGCAGAGTGCTTTAAAAAAGTGTCCCATTAAGTGCAGGGTGCCTTCATTAACTTCTGTCAGTGCACACCAGGAGCATGGCTGGGCTAATGCAGCCCATCCCCAGTGTTGTCTTTGTCTTAAGGATTGGGGCTGGGGGGCGGGGGGGGTGGAGAGGGAGCTTGGTCTGGGGTTGACCCAGCTTTGGGGAAGAGGAGGGTGGATTGAGAGGGCTCTAGACTGAGCTCCCTTCCCTCCTCCCCTCCTGAAGACAGCACCAGAGCCTGTGGGGTGGGGGGCAACACTAGGGGAGAGGCTGCAGACATGCAGCTGGCTCCAAAGTGGCACTCGATTTCCTCCCCCACTCCCCCAAATGAACCAACAGAAAATGTTTTTTGGGTTGGGGGGGGGGGGGCCATAACCCATGGTACTTCCTGGGAAGTGTCATGCTTTAAAACG